GTATTATTTCAAATATTAAAAAAAATTAATTTTGTCACGTATTTATAAAATTTTATGCCTCAAAAAATTAAGATCGATTCAAAGAATTTACAAAATTATTTGTGCAAGGAATTTTTAAACAGATCGAGCAAAATAATATTTCTACAATTACTTTGTTTTTGTTTCAATATAGTTATAAATATGTAGAAATAAGTAAACAAACAAAAATTAAATAAAAAAAATAACTAAGTCGAGAATAGTATTGGAATCAGCTTTCTGTACATGTAGATTTATACTCCATGTTTTTTGTGACGACTTTCTCTTGTGTTTTTTTGGTGCAGTATTTCCCACAGCTAAAAAATAGCGTTTGTTGCGTATTATCCAAGTATTTTTCTATCCTATGCATATTCACGACCATCACCTTCAGCTTAGGAAGTATGTTAGCCTCGGGTGTCAAAGCACGTCCATGTAAAAATGTATTTTTTCTAACTTGGGCGTTTTTGAGGGTTAGGTGTGCCCTCCGTAGGAAAAATAGGGTTCGCACCTGGTGAGCATCCAACCAGAGCAAGCACAAGGAATCTCTCGGGCCTAGTGACTGCCCTGGTGCCATAAGTACAAAAACTACCATTCCTCCTTGTAAAAAAATCAATTATTGAGTATTTAATAGTCATTTCTGTAACATCAATTTGTAAAAAACAATATTAATGTCATCGTCAAATAATTTTGCGAAAATTTAATTTGCTTTTAGTAACAATATTCACAAACAATATTTATGTGATAAAATTTTCCAAAGTCTGTCAACTATAAATATAACATTTTTTTTCGTTCCACTATAGAGCGAATAATTTTATGTAAAAGTAAATTTTAATTTCCAGGAACTTCCTTGGTTTCAATAAAAAATCCAATTATAAACGGCACTCGTGGAAAACATCGATAGCGACGTTAAAAACTTCACAGTTTTCACTGAAGTTCTAGTCAACACTCACTGGAAAATTTAATGGATGATAATACTTACAATGAAAGATAATAAATAAGCAGAGGAATATACAACACCTGATGTGCAAATATTGCAATGATACGTTCTCTAGCCAAACTGAACTTGACAAACACAAACATTTGCATTTGGACAGAAAACATTATAAATGTATCAATTGTGAAAAGTCATTTATTAGCATGAGTGACTTGACAAATCATACTTGTACCCGTACCAGCGAAAAGCCTTACAAATGTCAGTTTTGCCCAAAATCTTATTCTTCGAAACAAAGCTTAAAACGGCACACTCGCTTGCATACACACGAAAAGCCATTTGAGTGTAAAATCTGTAGCAAATCTTTTTCTCAATCATTTAATTTAAAAATACATAATAAGCAACATATCATAAATGATGAGAATTTTAAATGCAACTATTGCGGTAAGTCATATGCAAAGAAACAGGCTCTAAGGAAACACATTCTCGTCCATTTAGGCGTAAGGCTATATGAATGTAAAATCTGCAAAAAATCTTTCTCTCAAAACTGTAATTTAAAAGTGCATGCTCGTATCCATACAGGCGAAAGGCCCCATAAATGTGAAATATGCGGCAAATCTTTCCGTCTACTATTTTACTTAACACAGCATACACGAATCCATACACTTGAAAAGCCATATAAATGTGAAATCTGCGACAAATCATTTACTCAAGCCATTACTTTAAAAAGGCATATTCGTATCCATACAGGCGAAAGACCGTTTTCATGTAAAGTCTGTAAAAAATCTTTCACTCAAAACTGTAATTTAATATTTCATACTCGTATCCATACAGGCGAGAGGCCCTATGAATGTGAAATATGTGGCAGATCTTTTACTCATAGCTCTACTTTAAAATCGCATACTTATACCCACACAGGTGAAAAGCCACACAAATGTCAAATCTGCGGCAAATCTTTTTCTCAAACTCATACCCTGAAAGTACATACTTTTATCCATACAGGCGAAAAACCTTATTCATGTGATATCTGCAACAAATCGTTTCAGCGAGCATATCAATTAAAAACGCATAATCAAGTTCATACAGGGGAGAAGTTATATAAATGTAGAATTTGTGGAAAATCATTTTCTCATACAGGGACCCTAGTAAAGCATACTCGCATACATACAGGTGAAAAGCCTTACAAATGTGATATTTGCAACAGATCTTTCAATCAAATATCTTATTTAAGAGCCCATATAGCAATCCATACACTTGAAAAGCAATATAAATGTGAAATCTGTGACAGATCTTTTTCTCAATCATATTATTTATCGACACACACTCGTATTCATACAGGCGAAAAGCCGTACAAATGTAAAATCTGCGACAAATCCTTTGCTTATAGTTCTAATCTAAGAAAACATACTTTGGTCCATGACAAAATCAACCAATGCTTTAAATGCGACTATTGCGGCAAGTCTTTTACTGATAAAAACAAGATTATAAGGCACCTACATACTCACATAGAAAAATCATGTGATCGCAAAATCTGTGGTGAATCTCTTTTTGACAAATGTAATCTGAAATCTCATAGTCTAGTTCATAACAGCGATCGACTCTATAGATGCCACGAATGCGGTAAATTTTTTACTGAAAAACATAATCTCATACATCATACGCGGACACATACTAGCGGAAGTATAATTTAACAATCTTTTGGATGGTTAATGTTAAATTTTTCAAAAATTTCATCTTTTTGATAGCAACTTGACCCTTTTTTCATGTTTGTGAATTGACATGTGGGCGGTCCAGTGGGGAATTTCAATGTTGTGATTGATTTTTCGAAAATGAGTTTGTATTGGATTGACAAATGTTTTACACACACATAGGATTTAACAAAGTTTTAATGTACAGTGCATACCAGAGTCTGTATAATCTATATAATGAAGTCTATACATCGTTTAAAAATTTTTTAATAAGATACATTTATACAAATTCTTGTAACCATAAAAACTTTTATGCAAGTGAATAGCGACTTTACAAGAGACTCAACTGTTAAAATGATGATTTTTATTTTATTTTTTAATTTTAATTTATCGCCAGAAAAATAAAAAAATTTACAAAAGTTTAAGTGCAAGCGTGTTTCTGTTNTTAAAAGTGCATGCTCGTATCCATACAGGCGAAAGGCCCCATAAATGTGAAATATGCGGCAAATCTTTCCGTCTACTATTTTACTTAACACAGCATACACGAATCCATACACTTGAAAAGCCATATAAATGTGAAATCTGCGACAAATCATTTACTCAAGCCATTACTTTAAAAAGGCATATTCGTATCCATACAGGCGAAAGACCGTTTTCATGTAAAGTCTGTAAAAAATCTTTCACTCAAAACTGTAATTTAATATTTCATACTCGTATCCATACAGGCGAGAGGCCCTATGAATGTGAAATATGTGGCAGATCTTTTACTCATAGCTCTACTTTAAAATCGCATACTTATACCCACACAGGTGAAAAGCCACACAAATGTCAAATCTGCGGCAAATCTTTTTCTCAAACTCATACCCTGAAAGTACATACTTTTATCCATACAGGCGAAAAACCTTATTCATGTGATATCTGCAACAAATCGTTTCAGCGAGCATATCAATTAAAAACGCATAATCAAGTTCATACAGGGGAGAAGTTATATAAATGTAGAATTTGTGGAAAATCATTTTCTCATACAGGGACCCTAGTAAAGCATACTCGCATACATACAGGTGAAAAGCCTTACAAATGTGATATTTGCAACAGATCTTTCAATCAAATATCTTATTTAAGAGCCCATATAGCAATCCATACACTTGAAAAGCAATATAAATGTGAAATCTGTGACAGATCTTTTTCTCAATCATATTATTTATCGACACACACTCGTATTCATACAGGCGAAAAGCCGTACAAATGTAAAATCTGCGACAAATCCTTTGCTTATAGTTCTAATCTAAGAAAACATACTTTGGTCCATGACAAAATCAACCAATGCTTTAAATGCGACTATTGCGGCAAGTCTTTTACTGATAAAAACAAGATTATAAGGCACCTACATACTCACATAGAAAAATCATGTGATCGCAAAATCTGTGGTGAATCTCTTTTTGACAAATGTAATCTGAAATCTCATAGTCTAGTTCATAACAGCGATCGACTCTATAGATGCCACGAATGCGGTAAATTTTTTACTGAAAAACATAATCTCATACATCATACGCGGACACATACTAGCGGAAGTATAATTTAACAATCTTTTGGATGGTTAATGTTAAATTTTTCAAAAATTTCATCTTTTTGATAGCAACTTGACCCTTTTTTCATGTTTGTGAATTGACATGTGGGCGGTCCAGTGGGGAATTTCAATGTTGTGATTGATTTTTCGAAAATGAGTTTGTATTGGATTGACAAATGTTTTACACACACATAGGATTTAACAAAGTTTTAATGTACAGTGCATACCAGAGTCTGTATAATCTATATAATGAAGTCTATACATCGTTTAAAAATTTTTTAATAAGATACATTTATACAAATTCTTGTAACCATAAAAACTTTTATGCAAGTGAATAGCGACTTTACAAGAGACTCAACTGTTAAAATGATGATTTTTATTTTATTTTTTAATTTTAATTTATCGCCAGAAAAATAAAAAAATTTACAAAAGTTTAAGTGCAAGCGTGTTTCTGTTAACGCAAATGCTGTGACTAAGAATCTACTCGAATATCCAATAACTTACCAATTTAATGGATACAAAACATCTCATCTTGAAATGACAAGGAAGATATTTCAACCAAAAATTATGATCCACCTTATTTTGATTACATTTAAATAATTGTCAAATTTTTTTTCGATGGAAAAAGTTGTGGGAATAGTTTATAAAATTTTTTGCTAACATGACAGAAGGATGGAACAGCTTTTTGAAGACTAACAGACTATTGTAACAAATGATGTCAAAATATTTGAAAATAAAAAAAAAGCATGTGAAACAAATTTTAAATTATGTAATTTTATAGTTATTTCCCCATTATCCTGGCAAAGAATTTTAATACATCTCGAAATGTCTAATCTTATATTTAAAGCTAAGTTTTGTTTAATGTAATTATTGTATGTGGTTTCAGTGAAAAATAAAATTTATTTATAGGCTATGGGTTTACCTGAAGTATACTGTTATACACTGTTCCAATAAATTTATACCCAAAAATTATAGTTAAGATGAAAAAAAAAAATAATAATTTAAAGGCAGTCCTGATATCATTATAGTTTCCTACCTTAAAAATTATATTAAGTAGTGCTTCCTGTAAAGACTAGTACAATTAAATATTTTCCAGTTAAAATAATATTGCAAATTCTGAATTGCACTAGTCTTTTCACTCATTATATTTTTTTTTAAATGGAAAATCGACGAGCATTTTCACACTCCAAAGAATAAATTAAACTCATGAATTCACGAAAAGTTCTTTACTGATTGTATGAAAAAAATAGTCAAATTAACTCGCAGTGGTTGTTATATGTGTGCAAAAATCACCTACTTTGCGCATTTGCCATGTAATATGCTATTAGCTACGATAAAACTTTAAGATTGTTGATAAAAATTCTTATTTATTATCTGAAAGTCTTGTAAAAATTGTAAGAAATCCCTCAGAATCTTTTTAAGTATCACAAAGACTTTGGAATTCAAAACAAAGTTTTCAAAGTACATAGAAGGTTGAGAAATGAATTTGTTAGTTTTTAAATTTTTCGATCATAATTCTCGATGTAGTTACTGAAATATAATAATTTATCAAATAATACGATTTATAAAAAGTAACGTAGATAGTGTTCCCAGCGTTAATGGGATTTATTAAATAGACGTTAATATGCAGCAGTTTCTTTCGTGTCAGAACAAGATTGTTCAACGAGTCAACTCTCATGCTGCACACGTACGTGTACTTCTATTCAGTGAGTCTCTTGATTTTCAATCTATTCGATAAGGTAAGTGTATTTGATTAGTAAAAAAGTTCTGCTTTAGCTTAAGCTAAGCTTATTGTATTAACATTGTATTAACATTGTGACTTGGTTTGACGACATAAATATTTCAGTTTTGAATTGAAAAAGCAGCTACTTGACATTTGTATCGAAGTAGCTAATTAAGATCAATTTTATTTCTGAGTTTGTAGAGATAAATTAGTGTAATCTTCAGAGCACGAAGATTTCGTCTTTATTGTGCTCGCCAATAAAATCACTGCTGTTATAAAACTGTGTTCTCGTCTCTGTCATTTTGTCTTTATAACACTGCCACCAAGTCACTAGGTATTTATTTATGTGTGTCTTTGTTTTATTCATCTGTCTCTAAAATTATACAATTTTGTATTCTGTAATAATATATTTTCTTAAACTTTCTAATACTCTTCACTGCCTCTCACAAATTTTTCTCATTTTCAATACTTAATCAGAGAATTACAAATGTAAAAAGGTAAAAATAGATATTTGCTTACCTAGAACAAGAGAAATAGTAAAAGAATATTTAAGATTAGATAATGAGAAGAAAATACAGTAAGCAAGAAAAAAGTGGAAAAAACATCTAAGTTGAAAGTTAAAGTAAAATTTTCAAAAACTTCATATTCGATCATTGCAAATGGCGTACACTCCTAGAAGAGGCTTTCTTACAAATATGTGGATTTGTTCGCTATATTTTATATGTTCATTGCTGTTTGTGTATTTCTTGTTCTATTTACATTAAAGTTTTATCTCTGTCTCCATAATACTAGTCCTACAGTCATATCCTACAGTATCTATCACTAGTAGATTCCACATACGTAAAGTAGCAGGGATTAAAAAACCAGATTCAAAATTTGTTTGCATTTAAATTAGACTTTGTACGATTTCACTTTTTGCTCGGTTGGAAATATAAAGCATTTGAAACAACAATTACTTTGGTTGTATTTGTTAGATTGTTCTTGGTTTGTAATTATCGTGATTACATGTTACGGCATGTGTTGAATTTTTTCAGCAACAGTTCCGTGAATTCACCGAACTAAAATGAAACCTGTAATTTCTGTGATTTTTTTGATGCTGTGCGGATATAGTGTCAGATTAATTTTGGCGAATGGTGAGCACTTGCAGAATTTTTCACATTCGAAATGGCTGTCAAGTAAGAGCGATAATCATTGCATTACTGATTCTTCTCATGCGTTTTCATCTTATATTAAGTTTTTCTACCAGTCTTCTCATTAAAAAGCTTTTCATTGTACTCGTTTGAATTAAATTAAAAATTTTTAAATACTCTCATTCAATTTTACAGGTGCCATAAGTAATTCACACATTAAGCTAGCCAGCTGTATGCTCGAATGGCAGGTTGTCCCAATAACGCTGGATCTATATCCAAATTTAATATACCACCCAAAGTGCGTACGCGTTAAACGGTGTGGTGGATGTTGCAACCATAAATTGCTCACTTGTAAACCAACAGAGTCTCAGATGGTGAGCTACCCGGTAAGAAATAATTAATACAATCATCACTCCGTTAACAACAGATAATTTAAAAAAGTAAAGTAGATCCTTATGATTCATCTTGCCCTTAATATTACCTACGACCTCTTTCTTAAATCAGGCATTATATTGATGGATGTTATATATATATTAGTCAATACTTATACTTTTCTGTAACTTAAATGTAAAACAAAGTTAAGAATGAACTTTTATTTAAACTAGACGGATCAGGTGCGCTTCAAACGCACATTAATAATATTTCCTAATGATACATATTTCCATACGTTGTTTAATTCGTAAATAGTATTGACTGTTTGATCATTAAATTTTTCCCACTTTCTAGTACCTACTTATATTTCTTACTTGCTAAAAAAATACTGTGTAACGTACTTAACTTGTATATTGCAAAGTTATAACTGTCATTTACATTTTAAATTTTACTTTTGTTCAAACCAAGGATAATTCGATTATACTGTAATTTTACTTATATTAAAGAAAAAAAAATGAATTTCAGTAACTATTTTCAAACCGTTTATTTTTACAACCTGTAAATATCATTAGAATCGTGACCATGTGAGTTTGAACCAATCACATAATGAATAAACAGGCTTTATTTGAAATTTACTTTCCTTTTTAAAAATAGGATCTTTAATGTGAAAAATTTTAAGAGGAAAAACATGATAACAGCTAAAACAATATAAAATTAAGATATCAAATATATTTTTTCAGGTCACGGTTATTGATATCGTCCGTGAAAATAAGGAGTTTCAAATACAGACTGAAATACTTGTACATACTATATGTGAATGCACATGTAGTAACACAGAAAAGGTAAAAGCTCTTGGCTAGTTTATACATTTCACCTTTGTTTACATTTTTTTTATAACACAAAAATTTGTACCATCTTCCCTTCACTTCATGATTAAAAGTACCTAATTTGTACCAAAAGTAAATGTGCATTTCTAAAACTTAACTTTTGAATGAAATACCGCAAATTATATTTTCGTAGAACCTCACATGAAAGCATCATCAGATCGAGGTCTGTGCATTAGTATGTACCAACAAAAACGAAGAAAGAAGTTGTAGAAAAAACCGTGATTTAATGTGGTGGAGCGTGGACGAGTGCAAATGCAAGTGTAGAGAAGTCGAAATTTGCTCTGAAGGACTACACTTCAATTATGATGTGTGCAGGTACAGGATCTCTTGTGCCATTATGTATTTAGCTGCTACACAACTTTTTTCTCATAATAATCATGGTCATGATTAGCGAATTAGAGAGATTTTGTTGAGATTTGACAAAAGTGAGATTAAAAATACTTTTGAAGTTCAACAAAATGGTATTTTCTTTACAAGAATAACTTAAAAATTAAATGGTATAGTATTATGTGAAGATTTGTTTCAATAATGCAAATGATTTTTAAGGACTTATTTCGATATATTTTACTATTTTATTACCGTCTACTTGAAAATTTTATTTAAAAAATGGTATTTAATAATAGGGTTTCACTATTTTTGTCATGAATCACGATTTAGATCAATTTTCTATGACTTGTTGCCTCCATGTTTACAATATATACTTGTACTGTTAGGGCAAATACTGAGACTAAAATAAGGCAAATTTTCTTCTTTAAAACAGAAATTGTGATAACTTCAATATTTAGTAAAATGTGGTTGTATAAATATACTCATTAAACTTGATTTATTTGATTTAATTTCAGGTTATTGTGAAATCATTGTACATAGGAAAAAAAATCAAAAAATTTTTTTTTGCTATCAATTACCCTCAAAACTTTTAATTTTAGAGATAATTATAAAAAAAATATAAATTTTGTGACGAAACTAATATTAATAACAAACATCGAGAAAAAACTTTTAATTTCAATTTTTTGACTAACAAATACCATAAATTTGAAGTTTAAACACCTAACATTTACATGTAAAATCATTTTTTCATACAATTAAAATGTTGATTAATTAAAGAAGCATTAAATAGTTACTGTTTTGAATTTAAAAGTTAAAAAGGAACAATTTTAATTATATTGTGCTTATATTTATGGAATAATGATGCGTATACATAATTTAAATGGAAAAAAAGTTTTTTCAA